TTCTAATTCCCCTCCTTTCCCGTCTCTTCCTCCCTCCCTCCTTCCTCAATTTCCTTATAACTTCCGCACACCCTCACCGCTCATAAAGCCAAGAAGAGTAGGTAGCCTCTTTTCTGGCTTGATTTTATAAGATTATAGAATAAGTTTCGGTACTCACCAATCTTAATAAGCATTATAAACTAACTAAATCTAAATGGTTATATCTGATTTAAATAGTTTAAATTAAAATTTTTAATTAATTATTTTTAAATAAAAAATTATTTTTTGAAAGAATGATAGTTAAAAGATTACTTTTATTTTAATTATTTTTAAATAAAAAATTATTTTTTTGAAAGAATGATAGTTAAAAGATTACTTTTATTTTAGATTCATATATATTAAAATAATTATTTTAAACAAATAAAAATTAAAAAAATCAAATCTGAACTATCTAAATGAGATGTGAACAATTTAGATCTGATGAGTTTAAGGTATTTATCAAAGTGATTAATAACAAAACTGGTTCCCAAGATTCCTCGTCATCCTCCTCGCCGAAGCATGTAACCGTTGCCGTGAGTTGCATGATGCACGCCTTCTTTAACCATACTTGTGCTTACCTGGGCCATTTATGCCCAATTTTAACTGTTCCCGTACTAAGATGATAAGATGTGGCGTGGCTCTGCTCTTCAACAACACTTACAGGCTAATCGAGCAGAGTCCGCGTAAGTTCAAACTTCGCTTCTTAATTGCCAAGTCTATGGACAGAGGTCAAGAAACAATTACCCAAGCTCTGCATGTGTCAGTACTGTTCCTGTCCCTAAACGAGCCACTAAAATTGACTTTGAAGCCATCCTCCTTCACTACCTATCCTGTGGCCACAGGCAAAAGTGGCAAACCGACTTGTTCTTTCTTCCCAGGCGTCATTCATGCTTCCAACCCCTCAAACCATGTCTTCCTGCTCCGTTTCCAATCATTACTATTGCTAATTTATATGTTTCCTTTTTTTTTTAAATGACAGTATATTAAGGAGAGGATTATATTGCCTGGTTCGTGTTATTTGGTTGAATTTTAGTAAGAAGATTGGGAAAGATCACCATGATCCAAGGTGCCGCCGAATGAATGATTGAGGGGCCGAAGGTGAAGTGAATGAATGAATGAATGATTAGAAGGCAAAGGCATTCATTCAATTTCAAAAAGGTATGGCCGTCTCCTTTTTGACCCAATTTATTATTCTGATGTCCCCCCATAATCCCCTATTTTCAAACCACACCCGACTTTACACTGTGCTGCCTTTTCTTCCTTCATGGACCATAAACCAACAATGGATGCTTCCATCCTGTTCCTTTCAATTCCATCTCAATCATTATCATGTCAGTAAGAACTTTTTTCTTCCTGTATATTGTGTAGAATTAATTTCAAAGTTTCTGTTCTTTCTTAATATTTATAATCAGCTGATAGGAAGGTCTCATACGTTATACTCCTCTAATCTTTAATACAAGACTCATTTAATTAATTTGATCAGATTAAGAAAATTAGGTATTAATTATAAAAACTGTGACTTATTTTTTCTAAAATACCATAACCATATTTCTTAATACCCATTTTCCTCTTCTACTTGATTATGATTGAAGGAGTATCCATAAGAGTAACTTAGAGAAAATTAATAAATATGAAAAACGGGTCTTCTATTTAATACAAAAACTAATTCAACAATTGGGTCATATATTAAAATTCGAAGGAGTACAAGTTTAAGCTAACTAGAAACTTTACAGTTCATGGCCTTGTATAAATGAACGGTGTGACTTCCATATGCTTATATTCTTGCCAACCAGCACATGCATTACACTGAGGTTACAATTGACCAAGACTGAAGGTGTGATCTCTCTTGTTTTGAGGAAAATTTTCATGTTACTAAATTATAGAACTATTGATTATTTACATACTTATTGAAGTTTATGAGATGTTACTATTATATAGATATATAAATTTAGCATATCACCCAATCCAAACAAGTGGACTAATGTGTATCACTTTGTTCTTATTTATTAAAATCCACAAACTTAAAAATACATTAAATTTATAAATATTGTTTATATTTATTCTTTAAAAAGGTCTTAAAAATATATTTATATTTTCTATCACCTATCTCTCTATGCATTTATTAAATCAACATGAATAAAATTAGGAAAAAAATTTTATTAATTACCCTACAAATTACTTCTATATAAATAAATTATAAATAGGAAGAGAGTGCGTAAATTTTCAAGAATTAGTGGGGGTGGTTAGTTAGGATAATAAATAAAGGGTTTGAAAGGCCACGTAAGGGTCAGTCTTCTTAGCATCTTGAAGCTGCCTACCATAGAAAATAGGAACCCTGTCGTCCCTACCCTTTACCAAATGCTTGCCCAAGCTCGTAACGCTTAATAAACACACATATATGTTTCCCCACAAAACGACGCACATGATCCTCCAAGTGATTATTTTAAAAACTAAATAAATGTAAGCTAATTATTGACCATTTAATCAAATATAAACAATTCAGCATTTGTATTATTGTTGGCTTTTTATGAAGAGGGGGCCCATGGCAAAGCCTCATGAGTTTATAATAATTTCTTGGGATCAACGTCATTAATGTTATTTTGCCCTTTTTTTTTGGGGTGTTTGGGAATATCTAAAAGTGCTTTAAGAATTACTTTTCTGTAAAACGAGCCAAATCATCTATATATTTATATCGTAAACTGTAAAAACATTTTTAAAACCATGGTTTGGTTTCTATCCAAACAGTCCTTTGGTTCTAAGTTTTCGATGTGCCTTGTCCGTCCATTTCTTCAACTTGTGATTATTGCGTTTATATTAGCATTAGCACAAGATAATATTTTTTTTTAGAGAAAAAAGATGAAGTATGATCATATGAAGTGAAGTGCTCTAGTGCTAGCTAGCTTTGTTAGAGATTTGGCAGGAGTTAGTCGAGTGATGGAAGGGTTGAAATTGAAAGAAGGATGAAACAAAGAAGTTGCCCCATGATTGAAGGCACTGTACAGTAGAGTTGATGGGGAAATGTGGCAAATTGGAATGAAAAAGGTGGTCGAAGAATAGGCATTAGGCAATAGGCAATATGTGTGATTGATATTCAGCTTTTAATTACACGTAGCCTTTTTTTTTTTTTGGTCAAACAGACAACTACCCACCCCTCTTCCTTTTTCCCCTAATCACTACAGTACACTATCCTCTACCCCCTACCTACTCCCATCTAGTGCTCGATTATCTTCTGCTTATTCATCTGTACTAAAACATAAAAATATCATTTTTATTGCACTCTCAACGTCAAGATGCGGGTAAATGTGTTCAGCCCAATTCAATCATCTTGGTGGGCTTAGCCCAAAACGTTTTGCCTACCCGATTCGATGGCCCAGTCCATCACTAAACATTATCAATATCCGTCCCCGATGAATAAGTAATTGTGGATTCTAAGATAATCTTTAGAAGTACTTATAAGCACGTTTTGAATAAGTTAAGATAAAACATTTCTCACATACTTATCTTATATTTAGTAAATTACGATTGAAAAGCTATTTATAAGCTATTTTAAAGGAGCTCTTTCTTGATTCTTCCAACACATTTGTATTCTTTTCCTTGCACATAAATTCCTTTTCAAACTTGTTTGCAACCGATTGGGTTTAAGTTTTGTGAAAAGAATTAGTTCTTTATATGATAAACCAATATTTGAATTCTAGCCAAGAGATATATCCACATTTAGCGCATTACAATATTTCGAACAAAACTGCTTTTAATAGGATTACTTTCTCATAATGTGCAAACTAAAGTTTAAATTTTTATTAAGAAACGTGTTTATATTTAGTGTCTGTTTTCAAAAAATTTTCAACAGAAATTCTATGTTTATTGCTTCATGAGGGGGGGTAGAGAAAGGGCTCGTGTGTGTGAGTGCCTGTGTGAGAGGCGAGTTTGGTTAACGAGTTGAATGGGTCAAACATAAATGAACAAATGGATAGTGGGCCGAAAGCATTGTTTCCCCATTTTCCCATTCCACGTGGAGGTGCCCAATGTTCTGATTGAAAAACAAAACACTTATATTTCCCCTCCGTCCTATGCATGCATTTTGAGCGACTACGAGTATGTACAATCTTCGTCAAATCAGACCAGGCCCTTTCATTTACAATAAAAGGCCCTTTTAATTTTCAATTTTATTCATGAATTATCTTTCTCATGCATCTATTGCACCAAACGGGGCTTTAACTATCACTGGACATTCATGAATTATCTTTCTCATGGATCGCCCCTTGATTCTCTCTTTTAATAAAGCTGATTTGTACAAATACCTAAGTTACCTCTGCTTTATTTTTTTTAATAATTCAAACACTAACATCTACCGGGGACTCTTTTTTCCCCCTCCAAACCATAATTAATGTTTGTTGTTTATTTTTATTTTCACAGCTTTCAGAAAAAAAAAGTAATCGGAGTTTATTTTGTGATTCCATAATGATATTTTTCCGATTCTAAATATAAGATCTTTATATTTAAAACTGAAGAGTAGTTATTTTTCACATATAGGTCAACTGTTAACTATTTGAGTCAACGTTATTGACCCGATGGTTAGTGTCCCAGCCAGAGCTACCAAAACTGTAATCTGACAATAAGACCCTCATAATTACATTTGACGAAAAAAGACATGGACGATAAATAAATAAGTACAGGTTACAGTATTAGTAGTACTCTAGTGCTTAGTTAGCGTTCAATTTTACCACCGTAACCAGTCAGCACAAGGTACACGCGCGAGAATGTGCGTGGGGTGGGGCCCGAGTGGGGACGCTGAGACGAAACGTACGACAACTTCCCACAACGAACACAAACCGTCGAAAGGATGGAGCGGGTTTAGATCAAAGGATGGCTACGGAAAAACCCAAACAAGACCCAAATTTCAAACCCGCACACGGAAATCCCTTTCCCAAGAAAACCCGAGAAATCAGAAACCCATCAAAATGAAAAAGTCACAGAGAGAGAGAGAGAGAGAGTTTTAGGATTAGAGAGAGAAATCGAAACTCACCAGGCAGTCACCACACACAGCCCACGATAATCCTTATTCGTGAATCAATCACTTGGTTACGTTCACTCTCATTTCAACGAAAAAGCCAGCTGACTGACAACAGATGCCCACCCTTCTCTCTTTAAAGCATCTGAATTTATTATTCATTTTCTTCTCTTTATGAAGTTTTTATATTTTTCATCTCTCTGAAGCATTTTATCCAACCTATTATATGATTTTAGACATAAAAATTGCAAAAGGCGAATAAAATTATGGCAGCGATTGGGGAAGGCATGACTGTTCTTTCGTTTGTTCGTAGTTTCTCTTTTCATCGAAGATCAAAATACCTTTCCTATTTATATTATTGCTGCATTCTTCTTTTTCTCCGTAATCTATACTGTTGGAGTATTAATTATTGTTGTTTGTTATTCCCAAAATCTAACCGCACATCACAATCACACCCTCAGAAAACTTCTTCGATTCCCATAGAGAGAGACTCCCAGTATGCTAGAGAGAGAAAGTCTGAATTTATGCCCCCAACTTGCCCGTCAGACCCAGATGGACGATTTCGTGTTTCGGGCGGGGTAAAAGGATTGTCAGTTCTTCTCCATTTTTGCTTTCTTATGGGTTTTTTGTTTTCTTGGTCGCTCAGCAAGCTTTAGGGGTCTCAATTCCTTGGACGATTGTGTTCCATGAGGTGTTTGGCGTGGTTTTGGGGAACTGTCGTTTTTCCTTTGTCCCTAGCAGCGATTTGTTGTTAATTGTTCCGTAGGGTTTAATTAGCTGGGATTTCTGTGCGAGCTTGAATTTGATCCTTAGCAATGGAGGCTTGTTCAGAAGGAGAGCAGAAAAAGCCACCTGAGGGGGAGAATAAGAGCAAGCGCAAAATGAAGACTGCTTCCCAGTTGGAGATTCTGGAGAAAACTTATGCTAGTTAGTGATTTTTCAGTTTCTTTATCCATGTGGTTTTTTTCTCTGAGGTATAATGTGAAATTATGCTGAAATGCGCCTTTTCTTTTCTGGGTCGTGCAACTCGATTCAGCCGAACCGTATCCATCCGAGGCACTGCGAGCAGAGCTATCGGCGAAATTGTGTCTTTCAGATCGTCAACTGCAGATGTGGTTTTGTCACCGCAGGTTGAAAGACAGAAAGGCACCAGCAGCGAAGAAGCCTGGAAATGAATCGCCACCTGGAGCGGTGACTCCGGCGCCAGTGGCTGATGGTTTTGAGCAGAAGGCAACGGGTGATGGTGGACATGGGCGTGATTCCATTTCTGGGAAGAGGCGGTACAGTCATATGGATCCACGGCGAGCTATCCCACGACCTTGTATGGCCTTTCCTAGCATTGGAGGGGGATTGCCGGCAATGGAGAGTTACTATGGATCACATCAGTTCAAAGCTGAGCTGAAAGCTATTGCATTTGTGGAAGAACAGTTAGGGGAGCCATTAAGAGAGGACGGGCCAATTTTGGGGATGGAATTTGATCCGTTGCCACCCGGTGCCTTTGGTACACCAATAGGTAAAGTTGGTTTTCTGATGCTCTCCATCTAAGAATTGCATTTAACATTCCTTAGACCTACCTGGAATGCTTGAATGACTGGAAAAGGGAAACGACTTTCATTTGATTGGGGATTGTAAAAGTCTGTTTGACCTGTTTCAATTGGTAGGGCTTCATGCTCTAAGGTCCAATGCATTTGAACACTTTTCAAATTTCATTTTAATCCAGGGCCAACTGCAGTGGGGCAGCATAGGCAATCTGGAAGGCCTTTTGAGGCAAAAATTTATGAACGAGTGGACAAGGTTGGTAGTTTGTGTCTTCCTTCTCCCTCTGCAAAGTACCACAATCTTTGAAGTAGGGATTTTATGAAGACAATTCTACTTCAAAAGTTGTTTTTGCATTGTACTCATAAGAACTTGGTGTAATTTTATTACTATTTTTGTGTGCTATTTTCTCGCTTCTTTTTACCCACTTTTAACAAGACAACTATGTGTTTGTATTTATTGTCTGACGAGTTTGATTTCCAGGGTGCTTCAAGGACTCTTCATGAATATAAATTTATTCCAGAGCAGCCAACCGTTAGAAATGAGACATATGACTACGAGAGAGTCACCCCTTCTAACCACTATGGTTCTCTTGATGGAATTCCCCATGCAAGGACTTTATTATCTAGTGGACGACAATTCCTTGATGGGAATGACATTGCTTCCTATGGATATGGATATCAGAATATGTTGCCAGGGTTAAATCTTTTGTCTCAGCAAGGCAGGCAGAATCATCTTTTACCTTCTGCTTCTGGACAGAATGATAACATTCCATGGAAAAACACGTTTGCTGATGTGCCTGCTAACTCTCATATTGGAGCTTACCCTGCAACTAAAATTGACAGCATGTTAACTCCATCTGACCAGAGGGTTATCCATGAGGAGCAAATTTCTCGGTTTCAGAGGAAGCGGAAGGTATTTGAAGATGCTATTGCTGCATGATTTATCACTAGAGAGTTGTAGCTTAAGCATTTTTAATTTCTTCTTGCAGAATGAAGAGGCTAGAATGCAGCGGGAACTTGAGGCACAAGAGAAACGAATGAAGAAAGAGCTTGAAAAGCAGGATATTTTAAGGCGAAAGGTTTGGATTAGTCCCTTCATTTTTTACCCTTAAACATTTTGCCCTATGACTAATATTGTGTTGTCTTGTCATGCTTTTAGAGAGAAGAGCAGGTAAGGAAAGAGATGGAGAGACATGAACGTGAAAGGCGGAAGGAAGAGGAAAGAATATTGCGTGAAAGACAAAGGGAAGTGGAGAGAAACCAAAGAGAACAGAAGCGTGAACTAGTGCGAAGGGAGAAGATCTTGCAGAAAGAGTCAATCAGAGTATGTAAGGAATTTAGCCGGTTTGTGGTGATATGGCTTATCAAAATAAGTGATGCTTATGTTTATTGGTTCTTGCAGGCTGAGAAAAGGAAACAGAAGGAAGAGGTACGCAAAGAGAAAGAGGCGGCAAGGATCAAAGCAGCCAATGAGAGAGCTATTGCTCGCAGGATGGTCAAAGAATCAATGGAATCTATTGAAGATGAACGGCTAGAATTGATGGAGTTAGCTGCATCTGAAAAGGGACTTTCTTCAATTTTGTCTCTTGACTATGAAACCCTACAGAATCTTGAATTATTTAAAGGTGAATGAAATGATTGCTTGAGAAGCCAACAATTTAAGATATCCTACAATTTTTTTACAATATTGTAAAAATTTTGGAAGTATTGCTCGGAATTTATTAAATTCTCAGTAACAAATAATTATACTCTTTTGCATGGCCTCACCTTGTGGTGGACGTATGAGTTGTTTGGAATTTTCCATAGCTAGCCTATTATTCTTTGCTTAAATTTTTTTTATTTTCTACTTGTTAATTAGGTTTGATTAATGTGGTTGAAATAATGAATGTTCATTGAAGCAATAGTTGATATATGTTTTTCAGATGGGAGGACTTCATTTCCGCCTCAGAGTGTACTGCTGAAAAGACCTTTCTCAATTCAACCTTGGTTGGATTCTGAGGAGAACGTAGGAAACCTTTTGATGGTAAGACCATTCTATCTGTTTTTGGGTTTTAGGTTAAGTTTATGGAGAAAGAGAATGTCAGATATGCTTTATGTCTGTTTTTACAGTTTTGCTATGCACTTTAGTTCTGTAGCTGATTCTATCTTGTTGCATTTGTGCAGCCAAATGATTGCATATAATACATTTCTACTCGTCTTTTCAGTTATAGCTAAATATATTGATAATCAAGTGGGACTTGTATCATGCTTGGGATTGAACTTGTAACCATATGGAGTTGTTTCACGCATAGAACATTGCTTCTGTTGCATTCTGAAGTACAGAAGGCTTATGACATTGCTTTGTACTTGTTTCAACAGTCCATGCCTGCGTGGAATTTTTCTCAATAATATTGGAAATTCTTTATTTTTCAGGTTTGGAGGTTTTTGATCTCATTCGCTGATGTTCTTGGGATTTGGCCATTCACCTTGGATGAATTTTTACAAGCTCTCCATGACCATGTTTGTATTTCTTGGGTCTCTATCAATGTCCTGTGTATGCTAAATCAATTTTACCTTGTGCTGACTGACGCACATGTTTTTTAATGGTCTAGGATCCCAGGCTGTTAGGCGAGATTCATATTGCTCTTTTGAGATCTATTATAAAAGATATTGAGGATGTTGCAAGAACTACTGGGGCAGGGGCTAGTCATAATAATGCTGTCAACCCTTGTGGGGGTCATCCGCAAGTTGTTGAAGGGGTGTGTTCTCTCTCTCTCTCTCTCTGTCTGCAACTGTAGTCTTTTTCCTTCTGGATTAAAAAAAAAAAAAGTAATTTATATCACTTTTGTTTTGTACTGTTAGGCATATGTGTGGGGGTTTGATATAAGAAATTGGCAACGACTCTTAAATCCCTTAACATGGCCAGAAATTATGCGGCAATTTGCTTTATCGGCTGGATTTGGGCCACAGTTGAAGAAAAGAATCCTTGAACCAGTGTATCCTTGTGATAACAATCAGGTGAATTGTTTTTTCTCTTTCATCACTGATGCTTTCAATCTAAATACTTTTATCAAAAGTTGGAGTTACCAACTGCCATGTCAAATGCACCTTGGTCTTTTATCATTGCTCTGAATTTGCAGCATTTGACTTTTACAAGAAAACATTTTTCCTTCAATTATCAAATTTTATATTTAGTTATTCATTTTTTAAGCTAATATGTATTCTTATTTAAATTGAATGTCCTGTCAAACATACAAGAACATGGATGCTTCTACTGGGTGAGTGTGGAAAATTGTCCATTATTGTCTGTGTTATCGTTTCTTGTGTATTTCTTTTCATTTTTTGCGGATAACGTTAATCACAAATTTTTCTTCTGTAGCAAAGAACAAAAGAGAAAAAGCTTGCGCTGGGAGGGTTTACACATTGAGTTTTTATTGCGTTCTTTGATTTCTAATTTACTGATACTTTTCCTGGAAAATATAATTTATTTTTCAGTTGTGGAAGCCAATTTTTTGTATTTAATAATCATTAATTCTTGAGATGCTTTTCTTAACAACATTTTTGAAATAAAGTCTTTAATGCATAATATTTATCTAGTATAATATAATAAGATATATCTAGTATAATATAATAATATATATTCAAATTAGGGATTCGGAAGAGAGGGGAGGGGTTACCATTGGTTAATAGAATTTCAAACCATTGATGAAATGCATAGCATATCAATGCTATTTATGTTTGTGATCTTAGCCATCCACATGTTGGATATAATTTTGTAAGCATTTTATGACAACTTGGATTTAGCCTTAATCTTGTTTCTTTTTTTCTTTCCTTTTCCTTTTGTTGCCTTTTCTTTCTTCACCTTCTTCTTTGGTTTTCTTCCTTGTTTATCATTTCTCTCTGGGTTGGAAGTGCAGGTTATTGATGGTGAAGATGTTATTTCCAATCTACGTAGTGGGGCGGCAGTTGAAAATGCTGTTGCTATCATGCAAGAAAAGGGTTTATCGAACCAACGAAGATCTAGGCATCGCTTGACGCCTGGTACTGTTAAGTTTGCGGCCTTTCATGTGTTATCTCTTGAAGGAAGTAAGGGCCTTACTATATTGGAAACAGCTGACAAAATTCAGGTATGACTGTCCCTACTGGATATCGCATTCATTGTTTTGTGTGTAATTGAACTGACCAAGTTCACTTCTCTTTGTTATTCGTAGAAATCTGGACTTCGTGATCTTACGACAAGCAAAACTCCAGAGGCTTCTATAGCTGCTGCTTTGTCCAGGGACACAAAGCTTTTTGAAAGGACAGCTCCCTCGACATATTGTGTACGTCCTGCATATAGAAAGGACCCGGCTGATGGCGAGGCACTCCTCTCAGCTGCCAGGGAAAGAATCAGGATATTCAAAAATGGACTTGTCAACGCAGAAGAACCAGATGATGGTGAAAGGGATGATGATTCGGAAATTGGTATGGCAGAAGAACCTGAGGCTGATGATTTGGGTACTGAAACAAATAATAAGGAGGCTTCTGATTTTGTAGAATCTAGTTTGAACACTGTCGTTAAGAATAGAGAAAGCAGTGGTGAAATTTTGCAGACTCCTGATCGTGGCAATGGACAGATGAATGAGGGTTCAGCATCAATTGTTGCTGAAGAATTTAATCGGGAAATTGCTGCTAGTAGCAATGTTGTAACCAAACCTGATCTGGAAGACACCAGTATCGATGAAAGTAATCCAGGTGAACCATGGGTTGAAGGGCTTATTGATGGAGAATACTCAAATCTTAGTGTGGAAGAGCGACTTAATGCCCTTGTTGCTCTGATTGGTGTAGCAATTCAAGGAAATTCAATCCGTTTCACTCTTGAGGTACTATTTATTACTATCATTTCCCAGCAGTTTGTTTGTAAAGTTTGCAACTTTTTTTTGTCACCTTAGCGAGCAATGTTTCAGGAGCGTCTAGAAGCAGCAAATGCTTTAAAGAAGCAGATGTGGACAGAGGTGCAGCTTGATAGACACCGAATCAAAGAGGAATCCTTTTTTAAGGTGCAGTCTGCCCCTTGTGTGGGAAATAAGAATGAACCAACTCCTTCAGTGTCAGCCATAGAGGGTAAACAGAGCCCTTTGCTTGATGTTGATGACAGGAATGACAAAACACTACCAGCTCCCCCCACCCAGCAACTACAGTTAAATGATGTGCTGGAAAATCAGACCTATCTTCAGAGTGTTCCATCGGAAGTGAACATAAAATTGCAAGACTCTGCTGTGACTGACAATTATTCTTGCCAGCAATTTGGATCTGGTGCTGAAAAGTCAAAATCAAATTTCAAGGCATACATTGGTCAATTGGCGGAAGAAACTTATATTTATAGGTCATTGCCTCTTGGTTTGGATCGGAGACGTAATCGATACTGGCAGTTCATTACATGTGCTTCTCAAAATGATCCAGGCTGTGGAAGGGTTTTTGTGGAGATGCACGATGGTTGTTGGATGCTGATTGATTCTGAAGAGGTTTTTCTTTTGTGGCTGAGCTTTTTCGTAATGATCATTATATGATTTGTGTGTTGTTACTACATGCATGCATTTCTGCATTTTCTCTGTTTCTGAGTAACATGGTGGTTAATCTATATTTTCTATAGTCTGTCTTGCTGAGCTTTATAAAGGTGAGGCCAGAGATGCCTAATACTGTTTAATTTGCATGGGGAAGTCACCACATTAAATGCCTAGTTGCTATGAGTAAACTTTTTTTTTTTTTTTTTAACTTGTACCTTTTATTTCTTGAAACCATCAGTCTGTTTTGTGTTGAAGTTTTATACCGAATTCATTTTACCCTCAGGGTTTTGATGCTCTCTTGGCATCATTGGATGTACGTGGGATTAGGGAATCCCATTTGCACATGATGTTGCAACGAATTGAAATGTCCTTCAAGGAATCCGTTAGAAGGAATAAGTTGACAAGGCAAGACAGCGACACTGTTAATACGGAAGCTTTTCAAATGGCTACCAAGCATGGTGGCTGTGCTTCCATGTGCAGTACTAATTCAGATGTGCCAGAGACATCAACATCTTTTGTGGTTCAGCTGGGAAGGAATGATTCTGATAACCAAGAAGCTTTTAGGAGATACCAGGACTTTGAAAAATGGATGCTGAAGGAAGGCCTAGATTCCTCAGTATTATGTGCGTTGAGGGCTGGGAAGAGAAGGTGCCGTCAATTGCTGGGCATGTGTAATCACTGCCATGAGATCTATTTATCTGAAGAAACTCCATCTCCTTCCTGCTGTAGAACCCTCCGTAGTTGTAAGAGCAACTTAAGCTCTTCTGAACATATGGCTCAATGTGAAGGAAAAGTGAAGATTACCAGTGATTATGTATTTAGTGTCTCCCCCCTTCTCCATTAAGAATAAGATTGCTTAAAGTGCTGTTGTCAATACTTGAGGTGATCACCTACATATCATTTTGACTTTACTATATTTTGTAGATTACTTTTGATGTAACCATATTTTGAATATTTGTTATGAATACGGTGTCTGTTTATTTTCGTTTTTTCTGGTGAAATGGAATTTATAATTTGTAACCTTGATTTGGCAGGCTTCCATTCCTGAAGAAGCTCTTGAACCTATTTGGACGGACAGCTATCGGAAGTCTTGGATTATGAAACTGCATGCTGCTTCTTCCTCTGAAGAACTTCTTGAGGTTGTTTTTGTCTTTATTTGATAAAGCTTGATTTGAAATTTCAAGGCGTTAATACTTTTTGTTGGTTGTTATCATCTTGACATTGCACATGTGTGATCTTCTTTGTCTTTCCTTATTTATTTATATGTTTTCTTTTGTTTGAATCATTATATCCTTCTCAGATATTGACTTTACTGGAGGGTGCTATCAAGAGGGATTATTTGGCTTCGAACTTCAACACTACCAGTGAGCTGTTGGGTTCTATTTTTTCTTCTGGATTTCTTAGTGATTCCACGGGAGCTGACAGAATTCCTGTACTACCGTGGGTGCCTCATACAACAGCTGCTGTGGCGCTAAGGTTCATGGAACTTGACAGCTCAATCTTTTATACGTTGGAGCAGAAGCTGGAGTCCGAAAAGGACAAGAGAAATGAGAATGTTATGGTCAGTTTCCTTCTTTGGCTTGAGTGGAAAACGGAGATAAGTTTAAATATTTTAAGGGAAACATGGTAGAATGAAGTCAATAATTCCCAACTTAGAAAACAGAGAAGTAAGAGATGACATATGCTACTTTGAAATGCTGTGTTCGCTGCTGAAACGGTTAACCTTTGGTCCTTTGCTGAATTTCTCATGTGATATGGTGTGTGTGTGTGTTTGGCCAAAAGAAAATCGTGTTTTTCACGAAAACTGTTTGGATTTTAAGGGATTGGGGATTAGTTATGGAAAGTCAGATATCACATAAGAACCGCTCACTGAAAGCTTAAATTTTTTATCCACATGATTGGTTATTATTTTATTAATACCTATGGCAGTAATAATGTACATAGACACAAACCATTGAATGGCCATGATTTTGATATGATTTTACTGAAATGGAAACTTGCTTCTGGCCGAGTAAAGTCGCTTGCTATGCTTTAAGCTGAATTTTGAGATACAAAACAATAATCTGGCTACTTCTTGTGGCGTTGTGCCCTTGTAAAAGGAAGATTCTTGTTTGAAAATTATTCTGACAAGTTCTTGCCTTTCAGAAGTTTCCTTCAAAACATTCTTCTGCCAAAATTGCCCTAGTTGCTGGTATAGCCGACACTTCACATTTGGCTGGGCATAACATGGTTAATCTGGGTGCTGGATTTGCTAGCTACAGTCGAGGACAAAGGTCCCATGGACAGAGCCGTGGTCGCTCTTATGGTGGGGGATCACAGGGAAGGGTCATCAGTTCAAGATCTGAATCTAGAAAGAAAGTTACCGCCACTAGCAGCAGGAGGAGACTTGGACAGGGACTAAGATGGAAAGGGAAATCACGGGGTCATGGAGGACAGCGTCGTGCTCGACGAAGCGTGAGAAGTGGTAGGAAGAAACCAGCAGCTAAAGGACGTGAGATTACTGTTGAGAGAGATGCTCCCAAAGAGGAATCAGCTGGTATTTTTGTCAGGGAGGCAAGCAATGGAGCTGAGACCATTGGTCGTCAAATGGGGAATCCCGAAATTGCTGCAAGCAGTTCTGGGAGATCAGATTATGAGGAAGATAAATATCAAGTAACAGGTGACGAGGATGATTATCTAGTGGATAATAATGATAATGGCTATGATAGGTGTGGATTTAGTGGGAAGTCTGAGAATATGGTAGAAGGTATTAGTTTTAATTTAGATGATGAGGAAGACGGGGGTGGATTTAGTGGGAAGTCTGACAATTTAGTAGAAGCGATTGATTTTAATATAGATGATGAGGAAGAAGAGGATGTTGACGAGGACGAGGATGATGAACAAGTCGGTGTTGACGTTGAAGGCTTCATAAATGGGGATTCAGATATAGAAGAAAACGGGGAAGATGCAGAGCAAAACTTGGATCCAGATGGATTGAATTCTTCATCCTCAGAGTACAGCGGCTAGAAGCAGCATTGATTACGGAGACTAACTCCACAAGAGTATGTAGGTTAATTTTGGTACATTAACATGCTTAGTAAGTAACGTAGGATACTGGAAACTAGGAATAGTCCTAATGATTAAGGTACCTTTAGAGTAGTCATCAATTGTGCATGTTATATTGTACAACAAAAGATATATTTTGAGGTTACAAAATGGTGAAATGAAATTTGTTTCTCCTGTCATTACAATGGGAGAAATTACATATCAAATCCCCTCTTGCACTTGCTTTGTTCTTTTGACCCATCTTTCTAAAACCTGAGAGTATGCTGCAAACTGAATTGTGGGTCTGTCCTTTGGGCAAAATCTAAAATGTGAAATGAATTATTAATAAAATTTTATATTCTTGACACATTCATGCATACATATTCTAAAGAGCTGGATGTTGATAGAATACTATTAACATATGCCATTTATATAGCTGATTCTAATTAATAGGATAAGGAATTAATAGGGTAAGGCTTTTGTGTGTGTGTGTGTGTGTGTGTAGAGATTAGTTTTACTTCTAAGAGGAAAAATACTATTTAGATCATATTATTTCCTCTTTAAAATGTCAGCGTATAAACCAAACATTACTACTCCAATGATATAATTCGAGATGTTTGAGTTCATGATCATTTCCGTTAATATAAATTTATACTAATCTACTGTTTTGTTCAAATATAAAAATAAATAAATTAAAATAGTTAGATTTTAGGTGACTGATTTAAGGGTCAGTCTAATTTTTAATAACTTTGCAAAAGATAACTAGTGGTAAATATAGCAGTTGAGAAAATTTCACTCATATGATAGGCCTACCGCCAGGATTTCTAAATTCATAAAATGTTTAAACGCATTGTATCAAGAAAAAAATATTGTAAATAAAAATAAAATGACCTAAAATAAATTTCTAGGCTGTGGGTATGGCAGACGATTCAGAAAGCCTTCTAAAAGGCACACCTGATAGATCAAAGTTCAAAACATGAGATGCATTTAAACTGCAATATCCAGCAATAAACAAATGCGTGTTCTGATCACTGTGGAACAAAAGCTTCTTATTTTCATTCACTGACAAATCTTACAAACCAAAAATAATAATCTATCAAAATTTGCATCGCTATACTAGATATCCCATTCTCATGCTGCTATGTTGTGTTCAGTCTGCTACGTTTCTCCAGGACCCCTAAACTCCAGCCAAGCATTAGCATCTTCAGCAAACTGCTTTTTTCTTTTTTTTCCCCCGCTCTCACTTTGGATCTACTTAGAGATTCTCGTCAACTTTCTGCTTTCTTAATACAAGAAATCTTCAAAAGTAAATCTAATGGTGAAAAAAAACTCAATCTTTCAGGAGGCTAAGCTTCCCGTTTGAAAACCCCATGATCAGTATTGGATCTCAAGGTGAGGCACCCAAGAGTTTCCTGATTCCTGCCTTCTGTTCTGAGGTCAGCCGAGTTGGGAACTTAATGTTGAACTTTATCCTTAAGTTTCCCTTCTTCGTGGGATCCTTTTGGAGTGGCATTCCTTCTCTTGGAACAACCTCCTCATAGCTTGGATGAATCACACTGTTGATTGGTATGGTCAGGTTTCTTCCATCCAAGGTAGTCAGCTGCACCGTATAACCGGTCAAGGCCTCCGCGAGAGAAATCTTTTGCGTCACAATTAGATCATTTCCATCGCGAGTGAAAACACTGTGAGGCTTCTCATCGATGATAAAAACAAGGTCCGCCGGGGTCACATGTGGCTGCTCATTTCCTTTCTCTGGGAAGGTTATCTTCGTACCCTTCTTCCAACCAGGCTTGATATTTATAGTTAGGATCTCCTCTACAGGCATGGTTTTGCTGTACCACCAAGCAAAGCCAACCCATCATTAACCAGTTAAAAGATGAAGCAAAACAATGCAATGAAGAGGTAAAAGTGCAGCTTGGATGCGGAATGAAGGTCTAAATTGTACAAATTGATGAACAAGAAAGAGTATCTCAGTTCCATATGATGATTCCCGAGGGTAAAATTCTGAATGATCCATTTTCTGGAATCATTCATTCATACCAACAGATTATTAGATATGAGAATATAGAAGTAGTGATGCAAGATCCACTTGATATGAGATTTTCACAACCCATAGGATGATATCTCATCTATAAGAAGTTCTAGCAACGAACAAGAAAGTATGATATTTAGATTCTTCAAACAAAGATCAAATAGACGAGCGACAAAACAAAGGGTAAAAGACCACAATGAAGAAGGTTTCATTCCGCAGAAATACTCAACACAAAAAACACGAGAAAAAGAGCCGACAGCAAATGGTTATAGAATCTCCTAACAAAAAGGAAAACAAAAACAGAGAAAAGAAGTAACATCCAGACGAAGACAATTACTTACCCACTAGCATCAGCAATTTCTCTAGAGATCTTCATCTTCTTTGTAGTTCCTTGATACAAGTCTTCGAGACTACAAGGCAATCTGTTCTCAATAGGAGGAGCTTTTCGAGGAGCACCCGGATTCATATGGACTCCCCTTCCTTCTCCGAATGATCCAAACACATCATCACCAAAGATCCCACTAGAGAACCTTGACCTCATCCCTCCATGGCCACCGCCGCCTCCAAATGGGCTCGAAAACCCAAAAAATTCAGTAAAAATGTCGTCGGCGTTTCTAGGATTGAACCGAAACGACGTCGGTCCTTCTCCCGTTGAAAAGAAAGAAGCTCCTCCAGCTCCGCCAGCATCAGGAGGAGGAACCCCACCCTTCAGACCTTCTTCGCCATATTGATCATAGATGGCTCTCTTTTGAGGATCACTGAGAACCTGCAATAATTACAATAAGCAGTAAGCATCGCCTCCTAAAGTTCAATAATTTCAGAGAAAACAAACAGAATTTGCGATATTCATAAAGTTGGATTGAAAACAAGTAAGCAAATAAATTTTAGAGAAAACATACTAAGTTTGTGAAAACCATATATGCCGAAAGGAAGTAGGTAGAAGATCAACTTACGTCATAGGCCTCGGATATTTGCTTGAATTTAGCTTCCGCTTCTTTCTTGTTATTGGGATTCTTATCAGGATGCCATTTCATGGCAAGCTTCCGGTAAGCCTTCTTCAAGTCGTCGTCTTTGGCATTCTTGTCAACTTGCAAGATCTTATAATAATCCACACCCATGTTGGAATCTTGTTCCTCTGCTCTCTTTCTCTTCTTCAGCTTCTCAATCTTTGCAAGCAGCGAGTCGAACAGAACCTGAGAATCGACGAATGAATGGCCGCGAAGATGATGTGAGAAGGAGGGTGTTTAATGGGGAATGGGATCCAAGTCTCTATGGGATTCGGCAATAATTTTGATGGTTTGAGAATTCTGTGGAAGGTTCCAGAAATCGTCGATACTGTTGAATTTTGAGTCGGATTAGTATTTGGGGCTCCCAAGTCCTATCTACCAACAAACGGTGCGCAGATCGAATTTCGCTATCCTAGATAGATAGATTGGCGACGTAGGAAGTGCAGGCACAACTTGAAAAGTTGAAATCATGGCCAATTGCCCCTCTAGGCCTAAGTTTCAAATTCAACTTTGACCCTGTTTTAATATACTTTCGAGTTTTAAAATTGCTCAGCCCTTTTCATTTTCTAATTAGAATATCCAACTAATTTGACTTTTAAAATTGAAGTAAACAACGAAAATAAATGAAATTTAATTATTTGAAATGTGGAAGAATTATTTATTCGTGAATAAATGCTTAAGCAATAACGTATTCGAGATTCTAAGGCGAACCAAAAAAAAAAAAAGTCAAGATTTCAGATTGCAATAAACTAATAATCCAACTTTGGTGGCCTTTGAGAAATTTTTTGTTTCTTATCTGGGCAGTAAAATATAATTGGGTTCTGTCTGAAGATTTGCTCCCCTTCTGTAGTTCTGTATGTAAATCAAAATGACGATTCCTGACGATAAATATACTATAGCAGGGAGCATTACTAGTTGCCATCATCGCATGAATGGATAAACGAAGCTGTTTTCATTTATATATCGCATTCTTTTTTCACAGCATATTGTAAATCGCATTTAACTGGAGTTGAGAATTAAGATGCACGTAGGATTTCAAAAGAAAGAATATGAGTAGGGAAATGATCCTGAAATTCAACCACACTGTAGTATTAATTTGTTGTATGGGAACGAAACACAAGAAAATTCAGATCATGTCGGAATTACAGAGGGAGAAGAATATGATTCTTCTGATCAGTGATTGATTTGATTTTCCTAACACATTGTTTGCATAATTGCGTGAACATCATCATGAAGAAAGGATTAGCAGGGAATGTTATGAAAGAACCAGCTCAGAACAGCCATCGGAAGGCTCACCAGACCGCAAGCCTTGTCTGCAACTTGATCGCAGCCCTTGAAGCATGGACACAGCTTATGCAGCAATCTCCTGCACCATTTAATTTGTTATCTACTATTGACACACCACAGCCCTAATAATAAATTAACTCAGGCCACGCCAATTGTGTCAGATCACAGAAACACATTAAAAAACGTAGGTAATTTGAGTGAGTAAACATGGAAAATAACCTGATCTGTAAGCATGGATCTATATCTATATTCAAGAAAAGAAAGAATAGAAAGAAGGTAAGGTGGATGAACATAAGAAATAAAATCCAGAGTAGCGAAACATATAGAGATTGAAGAAGAAGAAGAAGAAGAAGAAGAGTTCAGATCAAAACTGTAGTCCAAAACCAAAAGAAGAAGAATGAATGATCGAGAAGGTAGGTACCCAACAAGCCAGATACCAGCAGCGATAATGGATAAAAGCGCAGCGAGTAAAGCGAAAGGCGAACCCAGCAACAGAGCCACTGGCTTGCAACTTCCCATGATTGAACAAGAAGAAGAAGCAGAAGCAGAAGCGGATAGTTTCCAGAGTCTTGAATCCAAACAGAATCACCAATGAAGCGCGAGTTCGTTTCATCTAACAACCTTTATATGCACGCACGTACATATCAACCACTCTCACACAGGATTATAATAACTACCTTCGTTTCTTTGTCTAACTTATCAAGAGCATTTCATTTCAAGAAAACTAAAAGATGCTACTACTACTATCTTTCTTCCTGCCTCTGCTATTTGCCTTGGAAATCCTGGAAATAATATTTGCTGTAATATGTACATGAGATACGGTATTATTTTTCAAGTCATGTCAGGTTCTTTTAAATGAGCTAATCATAATCATGTGTTTCTCGTTTAAAAAATTATAATGAATTTTTTTTTCTAATTTGTATCCTTTTACATCAAGCACTGAAAATATTTTTAAAAAAGAAATTAAAAATTTATAATTCAAAAAGATCAATCCAAGACTATTTTATTGAAAAAAATTGTATACTCTATAAAATTTAATTTCATGGAATGGACGGGAACCTGGGATGTTTCTGCCCAGGAATTGTTGATGCCCAATTAATTGGGTTCCACTTTCTAAAGGGCCTGAATTGGCCCAAAAAGTTCTCATGGGTCTCCAGAATGTTAGGTTCGGTCTTTGTATGTGGAGAACTCTTAATTTTTTTCCAAAAAAAAAATAGAAGGAGAAATTTTGCTGTTTCCTCTTCATGTTTGCGACAACATGTCCTAATTTTTTTCTTCTGTGGCAACCTTTTTGTCTAATCGATAAATTTTTTCAGAGAGAATTATAATAAAGTTTCAAAGAAGAACAAATAATTACGAAACAAGTCTTACAAGTTATCATTCTTTATTCTGAAACTTGTTATTACAGGCTGCTTAGGTTGTTATTGGGACTTTTTGGTAATCATTTTTTTTCTTGGGACCTCATTATAATTCTCTTTTTTTTAAATATATTTTTGGAGTAAAGAAAAGAAGGAGATTATATATTCTACATGTTGAAATATATTGTTGCATGGCCACAAATTAATTGCCTGTGTTGTGTCATTTTGTGTGGGTAAGAAATCAAAATCAATATCAAAGTCTCCTATAGTTACCTAAGATTCCAATATATATGTCACTGCTAATGGCTGCGAGGTCTCCACGACCATGTGAAAACAAACTTGGATATTTCAAAACCTTAGGACACTTTTATGACCCTGCATTTTTTTCTACATACTTATCAGTATCGCCATGCTCATGATGAATCAAGCACAGTGAAATTTTGTTAATTTTGATGTTTAAAAGAAATATGCTAATTCACCTCCTCTTTTTTTTTGGTGTTTTATGCTTGATTTTTAATGAGTATATACACATTAGTTACATCTTTTTAAACGAATGTATAAATAGATTATTATGTTATAATTTTATTTTTTTCTCATCAACCAACGTTTGAGAGATTGATTTTTGGCAAAATGACAATAAAATACCTTCTGAATTTCAAAATGATAAATAAGGCATCCAAATAAACAAAATGACAAAGAAGGCATCAGGTATCAATCTGAAATTTTGATTTTTGGCTTCAAAATATATTGCAAAACCCATTGACAAAGTAGTAACTCTCACTATGAAAGGTGTAAATCCCACTATATGTTTTGTAAAATTTAGCGTGGAATTGTATTGTTTTTTACAGAAAAGTTGTCCAACCCCTCAAAACAGGTTGTAAAACCCATTAACTAAGTAGTAAATCTCACTATGAAAGTTGTAAATCACACTATGTATTTGTAAAATTCGGCGTGGAATTATATTTTTTTACAGAAAACTTGCCCAACCCTTCAAAACAGGTTGCAAAACCCATTGAGGAAGTAGCAACTCTCATTATGAAAGCCATAAATCCCACTATATGTTTTATAAAATTCAAAATCAAAATTTCAGATTGGTACCTGATACCTTCTTTGTCATTTTGTTTATTCGAATACCTTATTTGTTATTTTAAAATTCAGAAGGTATTTTATTGTCATTTTTCCTTGATTTTTCCCGAAAAAAATAATTTATTCATGTTTGTTTATTCACTATTTTTTCAAGCACCAATTGATCTACTCTCCATAAATAACTCGAGATTTTTTTCTCCAATATATGTATAGGTATGATATGAGATTACAAGCTAGCTTTTCATGTAGATGTCAGTACGTACTTCGAGTTTTTTTTTTTCTTTACATGTATATATACGCATATATTCATCATAAGCATGTAAAAATTGCTAATTTTTTACACGATTCTTTATAAATTGTCCGTATAATTAACTTCATTGAGGCTGATTCTAACAAATTAACTCAACCTTAATTATCTTTATTTCTTAATTTCTACAAAGTTAACATGCCCATCAAATGTATATATATTTGCAAAATTCACAACCATATATATATTGGAATGATAAACTAATTAAATATCTTGAATAATTGTACATCAATTAAGCAGCATGCACATGATCATGACTCAATTATACTATATATGGACGTGATAGCGGAAAAAGTGGGCAAATCACGCAAGGACAATTAACTAAATTGCACAGTACTATTAATAGTATGCAAATGACGTAATTGAGTTCATAAACACACGAATTCCTATGGTGAGAGAGGGATTAACGTTGGTAGAAAACATAATTGTGATTCATGGCCCTACCACACCAGAGTGATTCCAACATTATTAACCCTTTTAAACAGACAAGGCATGTTATCCAAGTACAACTCAACACGAGATTTCATTTATACGGAACCAATTGCAGGATTCGTGTGGGTTTCGTCAAAAATTATTATTGACTTATCATCAACATCGTTTAAAATGTGGTAAATAAGACAACTTAATTTAAAGAATTTTAGTACCATTGGAATACTGTCTTTGATGTTCATTGCGATGAAGTGAACCATAATAAATGGTGTAGATCTTATATGAAATCTCTCTGATCGATGCTTTAATAATTATTCTGTCACTTCTGCTCGCTGATCAATTTTTATTGGTAAGATTTTAGCTATAGCCAGTGACATGTATCTTCCACTGACTTATGCTCCCTTCTGTCTTTATTATTACTTCTGTTCCGCTACTTGATATAAAAGCTAATTGACTAATTAAGTATATTATTTTTTTAAAAATATTTTTATTAATCACTATATTGGTTGGAATTACTATTATTACAAAGACCATTTTGAAAAGAAAAAAAAGAATAATGTGAGAGATAAAGTGGGTTGGAATTTTATGTTTAGGACCAAAATAAAAGTCAAATGAGTTCTTATATTAAGAACAGAAGTTAGTATAAGATAGCATTTTAAAATCTGGTTTATATATAGAGCAAATATGTGATAGTTAATTATTTTTTCCTAATCTTATCTCTCCTCATCTGGCAATTTGCAACAGTTTGTTAGCATGTTCTTGATTTCTAAACAACACTTTGTTATATGGGGTCATTATATTCAATAAGAATTACTACTATATCTCATTCTTAATATAAAACATATTGAAAGTAATTAACTCGTAAATAAGATTAAAGAAGATCG